TATTAACATTTCGACAGTGCTTCGAATAAACAAGTTTTCTTTCAAACTATTTACTCACCGTGGAGTCTCTCTATTTTCGTTCCTTTTTATTTTTAGCTTGCTTTAGAGGCCGGCGGAAATAGTAAGGCGAGGGAGGGTCGGCATTCCGGCGAGGGAGGGTCGGCATTCCCGACCCACCCGAAGCGAGTCCGACTGCCGAAATTCTGATTCGACAATTTCAAACCTTAAATAAAAAATCGGCACTCGCCGAAGATCAGGAATTCGGAATCGAGGAGTTTCCAGTCCGTTTCTCATTGCGTTCGCCCCCTCCAATTGCCCCCGTTTCCAGGCCCCCCCACATTGCCCCCCTTCACCAATTGGTCCGCCCGAAATTGGCAGTTTTTAGTCCCATCGAGAGATGATATGCGGAGCCACGCTTTTTCTCTCTTTCGTTGCTGGAAACGAATGAATCACCTCGGAAGCGCCTAAAATGTAGAATTGGAAGAAAAGGAAAGAAAGAGCAGCATTGCAAAGCATCTCCAAGGAGAGGGAAAATTATTGGAATAGGATTACATTCCTTTCTTGCAGTGTACTTATCCCGCATGGGAAAAAATTTCCATCGCACCCGTAAAAATCCGCAAAATTCTCCGGAAACGAAGATTTTCACTTGAACCACCAGTTTCCAGAACTCTCAACATACGAGTGCTTGGATTCTCTCGCCCCCAGTCCTTTTGTGGTCTGCACTCCAGTCTTTCACCGAGCGGAGTGGAATCCGGACGGAGTCCGCCATATTGGATCCGGTTTAACCTACTAAGACACCACCATCATGGATTTGGACTCCCCTCGCCGAATCGCGCTGAGTTTCGCCATTCACTCCCTCGCAGTTCTGGAAACAGCGACCGAAAAAGAAATCCATCGTCATCCGCTCCCACTTCTGGCTCGAACCGGAATCCATTCCGGTCGCAGACTCCACATCGCGCCACTATCTCTCGCGTGACCTTGGCCACCTCCCATCCCCGTCGATTGCGTCACCTCCCCAGTCCCACTTTAAACTTCCATATCTACTTTTTACAGAGGCTGGTTCATCGTGTGTCAGGATGGCCGAGCGGTCTAAGGCGGTAGATTCAAGCGTGAGCTTGCCGCGATGGCGCTGCTGGATACTCTACTCCTCTCTGAGGGCGTGGGTTCGAATCCCACTTCTGACACTATATTTTTTTTTCGCTTTCGAGCGACCGAAACCGTGTCTGGATAAATCTCGAGTTATTATTCTCGAACGGCGAACGTCGAATCGCTGCGTGTCCACGACATACAAGAAAAAAAAAACCTCCATCCTGTCGTTGCATTTAGTGCGCTTTCTACTTTATATTTGCCGTGTATACGGTGGAGTCATATGATGATTTAAATATTTTTCAGTGATTTTTCAGCAACTTATTGAAGGCGGAAGAGACTCCCCCACCACACCCCTTGTTCTCTATGCCCATACATAGAAATGTTTAAATCTGCCTGGAGTGCTTCGCTCGGCTGACAAAGAATGTGAACAATTTTCATGTAAGAAATAAATAGTAAATGCATTACGTAATGCACGTTTAAGAAAGTAAAACCGAAAGCCGCGTTTCCCTCTCACCCCAATTTGAGAACTGAACAATTTGAGGCTGTTTTCTTTATCTTCCACCCGTTTCGTGTGAATGAGCGTGGTACGTTATCTCTACCGCATAGAAAAAGAAAGAAGGAAAATAGTTCGAAGCACCCGGAGAAGCGAATTTCATTCATTCTTCACTCTCACCTCGTATTTTTTCTCATTCCTTGCATTAGGGGCGTTTCGTGCATTATTTAGGAGACGTGGATTCTCCCAGCAACAGCCAATTTGGATCCAATGAAATTTGTGACACCGAGTGCCCCCTTCTTGCGAGGTGCATTGGGATTATTTTTTCCTTCATAACCCTCGAGTCCGCAATTGAATCGACACGGTGGGTTCGATCGGACGGATCTACGCCGTCGGTTTAGTGGTCGGTGCCGCATTGCGGATTCATTCCGGACCATCTCTACTGTGACTCAGGATCATGCATGTGGTCTGTGCGTGTCTCCTCCCCCTTCTTATAGCCTTGATACTGGCTGCTTTGGTCTGGCAGGCCAGGATGGCCGAGTGGTCTAAGGCGGTGGGGCTGGATGTTTGCTCCACTCCTCATTTGAGGGCGTGGGTTCGAATCCCACTCCTGGCACAAACCGCTTTTTCTCGCCATGAGGGAACCTGGATACCGTCACGATGAATACTGGAGGAGTTTGATTTTAGGAATCGTGAAGAGCCTCCAACTCATACGACGTGAATCTACCCACTGTCGTTAATGCAATGCGTCATTCAAACTTATGCCATGCGTCACCAGGTCGTTTCGTTGTAATGACCTGGTGAGATAGAACGGTCTCGTTTCTAGCCCCTTTTTTTCTCCTCTTTTGCCTTCATAGCTGTCATTAACCGCTTGAAATCTTCAACTTCGATTTCTTGATAACATGTTACAGTTCTTAATATGCGACTAACGACATGATTATGCCAGTAATCAGTATAATGACTGCAATGTGTGACTCTAACGAAGGCAATGTGAGAAGCAAATGAAATAAACTTTTTTTTCATTCAGCTGATGATTCAGCCTGATACGAATTTCCATGAGTTTGTCTCACTTCGTTTTTCCTTTTTATTCTTTTTTTCCTCCAACGGTGGGAGCGAATTTATTGGGCATGCGAATGGAATTCCCGATTTCCACGAAAGGAAATGCTGAATGGCCCGGAGAAGGCCCAAAAATGATTCCAATGAAACTCGATCATCGCTGGGGATTTTTCGTCTCAGTATGACCTTTTCCTTGGGGGCAGTGATGCTCATGTCTCGTCACTGGGTATTTGGATTTCTCGAATAAAGATGAAATTTCGACACAGCATCTCTTGGCATAGAGATCTGGATCGCCTCGTTCCGTCTCTAAAAAGTTGATAATCGTCTGGCAACCCTGTCTCGCCGTCTCAATTTACTATGAAATATGGCGGCATCGATTTGCATCCAAGATGGGGACTGACTTCGTGACACATTGAGACTGAGATGAAAATTGCCAGCTGCTGACCTTGGACTTACATGGGTTAAAGAGGTCCGTAATCACATCACTCTTTTTATCTCATGTCTCATCACTGCTTTGAAGACTGAATGAAGACACGAGGAGGAAAGGATACCAAGGCCAGGGGCAAGCCCAGCCGATGTCGTTCGTCGCCGCTTTCACCTGGAAAATGTCATGGTCGAAGTTCCTGGTTCTTTTGGGGGGGTTTTGGGGGTCCAGTTGCTCAAGGAACAGTCAGAATTTCGTCTGCGAGTTGGTCGTTGGGACGAGAAACTTTTTCGAGGTGAAACGGCGTTCCTAATTTTTTTCTTCGAGAAAATTTAGGCTTACGCTTATTAATTGCCCACTGTGAAAATATAAGCAATCGCTGCTTATTCCTAAAAATAATCGTAGGAGAGGTAAATCCTAGAGCCTCGTCGGATTGATGCAATTTCACCGCGTTCTTTTAGAAATGTAAACTTCTCCAGTCTCAACAGCTCTTCCTTCCTAGAAACGATTTCTAATCGGAAAAAAGACCTCCTTGAATACCAAAGCACTGACCAAGCCGCGACCGCTCCGCTGGCGAGACTGCGCCGCATCTCCATCCCCCCATGATCTCCATTCACCCAATCCCATTCGCACGTGCTCGCGAGAGTTTGCGTCAGCATTGCATCCGGGTCAATCTTCCCTCCCTCTCATAAATGCTGGTAGGAAGTTATTTTCACATCCAAGATGAAGACCTTATTTCTGTTGGACATCCTCAAGTGATGATTTAATATTCTTCTTATATTCCTGTTCTCGTCTTTATATTTTTTTATGACTCCTCCATTTCTCCTTGCAGCATCTAAAAATCTGCTGATTTTCCCATGTTTCTCCCAATATTTCAAGTCACCAATATGATGACGAAGTGGTGCAGATTCCATTCATTTCTACTATATAGACATGCATCATCCTATTTTTATCTACATCTTATTTTTATCATCAGGGACTTTTGGATAATCCGAAATAATTGTCTAGGTCACCATCGCTAAATTGGAATGGATATCACGGGAAAATTTTCATTTCAGAGCTTTCATCCATGCTCGAATATTTATTTCAATTTATTGAAAGTAGGGTTACCATATTTCGAAGCGCCAAAATGGCGCTTCGAAATGGCGCCTAGCAGTCAGACGGAAATTTGAAGGCGAAGAAAGAGGACACGTCCAGGGAAAATATCCGGACGTGTGGCTCTAATTGAAAGTCCTTAAGTTAGAGTGGGTACTGCGTGACATTTCCGTTTCGCATGTGCTACCTGACACGATTTATGGCCGAGGTGGGCACGCAGTAGCTTTGTTTTTTCTCACATAGCTTGTACCATTAATGCGACACATTATAAAAGCCACTTTGTCTCCTCTTTCATGTCCCGATGACTGAATGTGCATCTCCTCTCTGACCGGGTTCCATCCATGCTGACATCTAGGCCCATCACGAACATTCACACAGGCATGCACACTCCTTCACATCCCCCCCCCCCTCCCCTTCCCCCTCCGTCAGACCACGATCGATACAGTGCTACAGGAATTGCTCGAGCTCTTTGTTACACAATCTCAGCCTCAAACTTCCCGTCAACGTCAAAGCTGAACGTCTCTATATTATGGCTCACTGAGGGTGAAAACGGCAGAGTTCCTGCATAAATTAATGTAAAATACGGTCGCAATAAATAAACACATTGAGAAGAAACGGATGAAACAAAAATATATATTTCAACCGACAATGCCTATAAAACAGATAGCGTTAAATTCAGGCTCTTACGCACGAAGAAAAAAAAGGAGACAGGAATATATAACAGCTCAATATCTGGCAACACTGGAAGAGCGTAGATGGGCGGAGGAATGCAAGGATGTGCGCATGCGCATTGCCAGGGGATAGGCCTCGTGCGCAGCTCATTCGGAACATCGTAGACGGTTCCGGCCGTTCAAAGGTTCATGCACTTGCTCTCATTTCTCCTTCGCTTCATGCTCATCTGCTCATTTCTCTCGCATTTCCTTCGAATTTCGTGACTGATTTTGTTGTGTTTGAATGTCGGTTGTGAATGGGAACGGTTCAGGGGGGGAATGGAGTCAAAACCAAGACTACGGCCTCTCGACCTGGGATGTCCTGGCCGTGGTCCTCTATTTCGCTCTCGTCCTCGGCGTGGGTCTCATGGTGAGTTGTCTTTCTCGGCGGTACTTCCAAACGTTTGCTGCACATTTACTCGTGTTTCCATCCCTATTCCAACCTTTCTACCGTAGTCGTTTCATAACATATGCATGCCAAGTCGATGACAAGGGAGGGGGAGGAAAGTGGGACATTCATCGATTAGTTTGAGTAATCAGTGGAGTGCAAGGCAGAACGGAAAGAAAAAGTATTTGCTACTTTAGCTTTGCACGAACATTGAACGTGATCTTGCTCTCGCAGGAATGTCAGGAATTGTTCTTGAAAGCTTAAACGTATGATCTGCGTTATGCGTTTTCGCATCCTCCGCTCCCAGCCTCAACTGCTTATAGAGTCCATTTACAATCGCTCGTTTCCTTCATGTAAGCAATAAACACTGCAATACGAGCTTCTACGTACCGTATTTATTACTTTGAAAGTCTTCACCGCTTGTATTTTACAGTTACACTCTCGCTGCTACACTACTACGACGCATATATCACAATAAATGATCTATGCGAGGGTTAATCATTTAGTTTCCTCTAAATTCTACTATATGAAATTACACTCAAAATCTTTAGGTAGTTAATCTTCTTGACGAACTTTTTCGCGTGGGTTATAAGATTTCGGAGAAGTAACCGCTTCCATTCGCTAGTCATGGTTAAATCGGCCCTTTCAAGGGCGTCATCATTTCTGGTGTCGCTCGACAAACAAGCGACCGAGATTCACCAAATCATGCAGGAGGCTTAGGGAGATAATGCGCCTACAGATAGCGCGGGTCGTCTACGGGTCGTCAGCTTGAAAGCAGGGAAAATCCACGTGAAAGACGGCCTCTTTTCCGGAGCCCCTTCCACAGCTGCCACGAGTGCAAAAATCGAGGCAGTGCGCCTGCTTCTCGAGGATGGCCGTCCAATCATCGTGGACGGAGTGGCATGCGAAGCCGGTATGTCTCATATGCCGCTTCGTCATTCTCAACTCCTTTTCACAACAGGGAAGTCGATATGCAACGCAAACCTTTTCTAAGCTCGATGTTGATTGCTCATACACGAGTGAGTTTCGTCACTGTCGTATGGGTCATCCTGTGGTGACGGGGAAAACTTTTGCCGCAAGTTGGACGAGATGGGGGACGTGGAGTATTGAGAAAATTCTCTTACGCTCCGCCACGTTGTAACACATTCTTCCGAGGACATTTGATTGAATTTATTTTCACCTTCGCACATGGTGGGACTATGAGACACGAGCAAATGTCGTGTATCACGGCACAGAAAAGATAAAATATATTCGTAATGTTCAATTTACTATGCTTTCCGAGGATTATGACTGCATATGACTGTAGATATGGGGGTTAGAGACATAAGCCTCTCTATACATGTGAAGGAAGCTATCGTCAAGTTAGCTGCAATTATTTACGGAGACATCTTTACCATATGCGATACATTTGTGCAAACAGTAACCTGGTGTAATGGGATAGCCTTAGATTTACCTTTGGGATCGAACGTGCCGTATTTCTGGACCCAATAGAATGGCGTGACATTGGAAAAAAAAAAAGTTGAATTCCAGTAAGCGTTGCATTTCAAATTTATTTCGCTTTAGTCGCTGTTGGTTCCCATTGGGGAGAGACCGAAAGCGCATGGTCGTGTCACGTCTTGGCAGGAACGAGAAGGAAGAAAAAGTATTTTGCATCGGCTTGGAGGAGTTCCAACTTTTTGTAGGCGCATAATGCCCTCAATATAGACTTACCTTATGTAGAATCGCGATTGTCGTCCTAGGATTTCATAACCCACGTGTCGTCCTGGAAATTTGAAGTCGCGACAGTATCAGGCCCATTGCGCTGGTTCTAAGACTTCAAATCAAATCTTTCAGTGAACTAGAAATCTTCAAGTGAAACCGATTGGAAAGCGTAGCTAATTTTATTTTTAACTTTTCGTTCCCATCTCCAAAATATTTATTCGTGGCTGAAGTCACTCTCCATTTCTCATAAGAAACCTGATGGCATCTTTAATTCTGTACTGAATGTATTGTGCCCTAGGGTGAAAAAAAAAATTACAGTATAATTTTTTTTTTCCAGTCCATGTTCCGACACAACAGGGGGACTGTGAGTGGGTACTTCCTGGCCGGCAGGTACATGTTTTGGCTACCGGTGAGTAATATTTCTGTTATTTTGGGAATTGTGCGTGACCATGAAGTAGAACTACAAACGCACTCATTAGTGGGCGGTTAATCCGAGCCTAGCTCGGACTTGATTTGGATCGGGTTTCAATCGCACATTAAAGAAAGTCAGCACCGGACGCAGGAGGTGCTATTTCTTCAGAAAGTCTCGTCGTCATAGCTAAAGTGGTTGAAACTCTTGCATCAATTTCGTGTTTGATGAGCGTCATTTCCCTGCCGATGTCGCTCTCTGCATTAGATTTCATAACTGAATTTACAGTAATTTTGGAGATATTTTTTGGCATCTGTTGTCAGAATAGTGTTTCCTTCGCTTGAGTTCAGGTCCCAAGTTCGTTCATTCTCTCCCCTAAGTCTATTCCTTACCATCTTTTGCATATTGCAGGTGGGAGCGTCCCTGTTTGCGAGCAACATCGGGAGCGAGCACTTCATCGGTCTGGCAGGCTCCGGAGCAGCCTCCGGCATCGGCGTCGGTGCCTTCGAATTCAACGTCTGTTTTCCTCTCCGTATATTATGGCCCTCGCTCGCGCGAACGACTCGGCTCCCTTATCTTTCTCGTTTTCAATCTGGTTCTTCCTTATCGTATTCCATGTCCTAGGGCATGATCCTCTCGTGGGAGGGTCAGGCTCGGCACTTCATGTCCGGAATACGAAAATCCTCTCGGTGTTCACGGTATGCCTCGGAAGGCAGAGTTTGTTTCAGTTTTCTGCGTCATTTATGGCTTACAGCGCGGCTTCCTAAAGAGGAAAAGAGCCTTACGCGTCTCTCCACATTTTTCTTGATCCGATGAGAACTTACGTCAGCTGCAAGCCTTTCTCGGCTTTGCACTAGTCACTGGACTATTCTCAGCTTTCCTGTTCGTTTTCATGGAAGCAAAAAAAAAATTCATTTTCTTGAAATCATGCTTTTTTTCTGATGTATATTTCTTTCTTTTGGAAATGTTGCAGGCACTGCTCATGCTGCAGCTGCTCGGATGGGTATTTTTACCGGTGTTCATTGCCAGCGGGGTAGGTAATCCTCCAATTCGACGACTCCCCCCTTCCGGTACTCTCGTACTGTCCCGACCGCCCTTGCCGAATCGGCGATTCATTGCAGAGCCCTCGGGTTGCTTCTTCCCGTGTAGGTCTGCACTCTTCCCGAGTACATGAACAAGAGGTTCGGGGGACAGAGGATCCGAGTCTACCTGGCGTGTCTCTCGCTACTTCTCTACATTTTCACCAAGATATCTGTAGGTTCCTTTTTTTGTAGCTGTGGAAATTTTAAGAGCTTGCATACAATAGCTATGTAAAAACTAAGAAGTTAAGCATGATAGCACAATGAGAACTTTCTACTTAATTTAATTATTCAATGTCTGAGCCTGGAAATCACTTGAAATCGAAAATAAATAATTTAAAGGGTAATTGAGGGTCACAGCTAAGAGCCTAGCCTCTTTGCAAAGGAGCGATGTGGGTCTTGTGCATTCTGGAATCTTTGCATTATACCGGGTGGCCCCCCAAAAAACGCATCCTGTTAGACGCTTTATAAAACCCGCTGTAGATAATCTAGGTTCATGATGTTTTCGTATCACATTGAAAACACCACAAAATTTGTTCTCTGAAAGTTTCATGTACCTATGTTGTATGAAAAAAATCGACAGTCGTTTAAAGTGGAGTCATAAATTGTATCTTACCACGCATGAGTTGGATGAAGTTTCAAGACTGCTTGAATGATTGCTCGCACTTGACGTCATAAGGACTGCTTTTTACGGCATGTCCTGGTAGTATTCTACACGTCGTGGAATAGTACCAATGTCGTACATCGCAGCATCAGAATCGTTACTACGGAGAATACAACTATGAGAACTGGCATTAAAGCAGCATTTATGGTGTCAAAGGAGAGAAATCATCCGAGCAATTCTGAAGCTCCATCCACCTCGTGCGCAGTACATTTTGAACGACTGTCGATTTTTATTCGGACAACCTAAGTATTGACATTTTCAGAATTTCCAATATATGAAACTTTCAGAAAACAAAATTCGCGATGTTTCCAATGTGATACGAAAACATCATGAACACAAGTCATCCACAGCGGGTTTTATGAAGCGTCAAACAGGACGTGCTTTTTTTTTGGGCCACCCGGTACAAGCTTGAACTACACTTAAAAATAAAAAAAAAAACAATCTCATAGATTGGTGCATATCAGGAAAGGTATTGCTAGGCTGTATTGGCTCATCTGGGATTATACTCTTAGGTGAACTTGTACAGTGGAGCCCTGTTCATCGAAGTGGGATTGGGTTGGGACCTCTACTCGTCCGTGCTGGCCCTTCTCCTATTCACAGGGTTCTTCACCTTCTTTGGCGGCCTAGCTGCTGTCATCTACACAGACACCCTCCAGTTCTTCATCATGATTATTGGAGCCCTCATTGTCATGGGGAAAAGTAAGTCCTCTCCTGTGACTTGCATGATGTGTCTAATGAGACAGCAGGAAACACTCATGACTGTGTGGGTGTAAACCTGCACCCTTGCGCATGAGCTTATTGGTTGTGATGGATGATGGCAAATGATAAATTGCTGCAGATGGGTTTGATGGCTAATGGTGAACAACCCCATGTTGTGCAGGTTTCTACATGGTTGGGGGTTATGAGCAACTGGTGAAGAAGTACATGGAGGCTATTCCAAGTGAACATAACTTGACAGAGTATAAGAATACATCTTGTGGCCTTCCCAGGGAGGATTCCTTTGTTATGCTTCGACACCCCATCTCTGGGGACATTCCTTGGCCTGCTTTCATCCTTGGACAGACCCCAGCCTCCATCTGGTATTGGTGTGCTGACCAGGTATAGCTTGTAGGAAAGGGAATCCTCACTTTTCAAGCATGAAATGCATTGTAAATGACAATACTGTATGTAAGGGCCACACACCCATGCTATGGACTTTCTTTTTCTCACTTAACGAGTCACTGTCTTAATGACTGTCACTCAGGTACCATCAAGGGTGGCTGTTACACCCCTTTCTCAGTTTGTTACTCTCTAAAAAGAAGACGTGAACAATTGAAGTCCTTCTTCTCCTGCACAATATGCCCCAGCCTCTGAAATAATTGTAAGGTGCTGGGCTGGACACCATTTTGCTTTTTCTGTAACTATCTTTTCACTTATCAGAGAGTCCCAAGCATTGATGTTTTCATGCTTGTATGTTTATGTATGAATTGATTTGAATTTACAAAGACAAGTATACTGTACTTTATTGAAGATTACAAGGTATTGGCATTTTTCCAAAAATGAACTAGAGCAATAACGTAATTATGGTATATCACATACAAAAAATTTTATCTGGAAACCTGAACTGTAAATTGTGAAGTCTATCATAGTCATGCAAATGAAACATTTTACTTGTATCATGTGAGTTATGCATAATTTTTCAGCCACACGACTCAAGAAGTTCAACGACTGATATGGGTGGAACATTTGAATTGTGATCATGATTTCAATTATCAAAGATGCTGTAGCTGTCCTGATTTTGGATTTGCAGATGATGGTACAGCGGGTGTTGTCAGCCAAGAGTCTATCACATGCACAGGGAGGGACCCTTTTCGCTGGCTACTTCAAGATCCTGCCTCTCTTCCTGATGGTCCTTCCTGGCATGATCTCTAGGGTCTTCTATACTGATGACATTGCATGTATCAGCCCTGAGAAATGCCAAGCTTACTGTGGAAACCCAGTCTCTTGCACCAATATGGCATACCCTCGACTCATCTTGGAAATCATGCCTCCTGGTCTGTCTTGGTGTTTCTGGAATGTTATTTCTGCTGGGCTTGCTGCTGTTGTATAACATGAACCTAATTGCAGGGATGAGAGGAGTCATGATGGCTGTGATGCTTGCAGCGTTGATGTCAGATCTCACATCCATTTTCAATAGTGCTTCAACACTCTTTGCAATGGACATTTGGAAGATTTATAGACCTCGTGCCAAAAATACTGAAACTGTCTGGGTAGGGAGGTGAGGTTCAGCAAGCATATATACTTGTACACAAGCTATTTATGATCTTGGTCATTTGAGAGTAGAACTGAAAATAAAAATTGATATGGGTAGGAAAGTTGTTAAGCTGAAATGTAATTGCCAATGTGACTTGTGGGAATGGGAAAGTCCTCTATTAAAGACCCATGCATTCAAAAGGATTTTCACCTGTCAAGTTTTTATTAATAAGAATCAGGCTATGTAATCTTTCAATGCTTTGTGTAAAATATTTTAAATATATATAATTTCATTTTATCATGTTGGGAAAATGAAGCATGAGCAACAGGACAATTTTTTTGACAGGATATTTGTGTTGGTGATGATGGGGCTGTCGATTGCCTGGATTCCATTGATTGAGGTGCTCCAAGGAGGGCAGCTGTACATCTACATTCAGATGGTGGCTTCCAACCTTGCCCCCCCCATTGCTGCCACATATTGCCTTGCCATCCTTTGGCAGCGTGTGAATGAGAAGGTGCTGTGCCCACCATCCTCCCTCATCACTTATGTGGCTGACTTCCTCTATCTACATAAAAGTAAAACTTTCAAATAGACGATTTTCCAGTAGGGAAGGAATGAGGGGGTATATTTTAATTGTAACTTCTAACTGTTCCTTCAATAGATATGCTGTGCACATGCACTTCAACATTAACTATGGAATCATACTTGAAGGATTCTTTTCTCCTGCTGCCAATGCTGCAGAAAATGTTTTACCTTTATTAGCATAATGTGTCTCAGAAATGTATGACCTGCAGAAAACTTTCAGAAAAGAAGACTTGAGAATAACCAATTATTACAAAACCAAGACAACTCCATTGAATTCTTTGAGAATGCCATGAATTCTTTTGCTCTTCTGCAAGGCTTCTATGGAGCGCTCTTTGCCCTTTTTTATGTGCACATTTAGTCATCAGGGAAAGGTTCTGAGAGGGACTGGTATCAGGTCAGAGAAAGGATTAGGTAAATCTCTCCAGCAGTTGCAATGTATCTTATAGGGATAGACAAATCCCTACATGCTGCACAATGTGGAAATTATCTGTGACTCATGGTGATGGACCTATCCCAAATATCATGGATGAGGCTAAGCAATTACTCATGCCAACTTTTTCTTTTCCTCAGGGAGCGTTTTGGGGTCTGATGGTGGGTTTCTGCATGGGTGCCACCCGTATGGTACTTGACTCCCTGTACCGAGAACCAGCTTGCTACGAAGAAGACACCAGACCCCTAATTGTCTCCAAGGTAATTTTCGTTTCCTTTTCAGCTACTCTGGGTCTGTCAAAGAGAAGTTTGATCATTTAGTGTGTTCTCACAGGTGCATTACATGTACTTCGCCATGATACTGTTCTGGTCAACCATCATTGTGGCTATTGTTGTGAGCCTTCTCACTGATCCACTCGAATCTCACAGGGTCAGGATTTTTCTCTTTTACATCCATCTTGCATTGCATATGGTCAAGCAAATCATTTGAAAATTTACATCTTCGAGCAGGTTGTGAGAACTGTTTACGTGCATCGATTTGACAAAGAAAGGAGACCAGATGATGGGGAGAGACCTGAGCACATTCCAGAAGAAGAATTCCACATAACAGAGTTGCAGAACACAGCAGAAAGACAGGATGAGCTTGATTCTAAAGGTATTCTACTGATTCTACTGTCTGCTCTTATTTTTTTCCCAACAGATTTCTTCACTCTTCTTCAGTTGAATCCAATTAGCCCATGTAGTACCATGGATACATGGATACCATGGTTACCAATTAGTACCATGGATATTAGCAGTGAGGCATAAACTAGGCATGGAGTAACAAATATTTATCATCAGTGCGATTGAACACTGAAGAGAGAATGAAACAATGTAGAAGGCTGTCCCACTTGATGAAAGCAAAACAGAAGAGGTGTTGACCAAGGTGCCAGCCAAGTGGGAGACAGGGAGTGTGAATGGACCCCACCTCTGTGCCCCATTCCTCTAAACTCCTCATGGTTATCTCTATCACTTTGGTGGATGCTGTAAATAATTTCCCTGCCTTTACTCCCTTCTTCTGCAGCAGCTTCCATTCTGTCGCATTCATCAAATTTTGTGCCAGTACAACTTCATTCTTCAATTTTAGTCAACTTATGGAGGACTTTTTTTCTGTATGTATTTTTTATATGGACTTTAGGCATAGGTTATTTTTGTAAGTTGCTTGTATTAATGTATCAACATCATTCATTACATTAGTAATATTATTACCTTAAGTAACACTGGCATAATTTTTTATCTGATTGCAGTGGAGAAGGAGCCGAGAGCAGCATGGAAGAAACTTGCCAAACGCCTTTATAACTGGTTTATGGGTTTTGAGGAAGGTGTTTCAGCCAGGCATCACCTGGAGGAGCTGGAGGCTCACCTTCAGAAAATCACTTCCTTGCATCAGACATTCTTTGAGAAAGTCATTCTCAATGCGAATCTCATACTCATTTCAGGTGTCTGCATAGGACTCTTCATCTATTTCTCCATCGACCCAGTGGCTCAAAGTGCAAAAGTTCATCTATGATGCAGACATTGGCCATCAGATGGCCATTGCCATTTTTATGTATCTGGCCAAAATTAGCAAATGTTTAGGGACCAGTTAGCTCAGTGAAACAGGTTTTTTGGATCAACTTTTATTTTCTGATTTCAGGGACAGATGTATTAAACTGTGATGGATTCGTTTGACATGCTAAAAGTCTAGAGGCATTTGAAAAATTGTTTCGGGTGAAGAATTACTTTTGATGTTAGACACAATCTCATTGTTGAGGACAGGCCACGATCTACCACATGATGGTCATTCAAAATAATTATCACTCTGGTTGGTTCACTCTCATTGGGTGAAATCATCCTTTCTCTTCATAGCTTTTCCACAGGATCCTCAGTTTGACTGGCCTAGGCAGATAGGAGTTTTTTTTTTCGTGAATTTATTGACATGAAAAAAGGCAGTTATGTTTTTTAAGACAATCATTTGATGTATGATTGTGAAGACTTGTATCAAACTTGCACACCCACGTCTTGCACCAGGTCTTCACTTCACACTTCACCATCAGCCACGTCTTGAAACAAGTCTTGCACACCCGATTTCATTCAGCATGTACTTTTTTTCAAATCTCATGTGCAGTTGCGCTATTGAGCACAAAGACTAAATTTACTTTAAATTATTGTCAAGCAAGAATAGCCAAAGATTGACCTTTGCCTGACGATGCAACCGACTTGCGAGGGGCAAGCGGAGGCAAATCTCCTTCACAGCCTCAGTGGTCTTCCTCTGCCTCCCGCGTCCTTATTTTCCAAACGGCATTGCTTCCAGGTTTGATTCCGCCGTCGTGAGAGCAGAGAAACTGCTGACTGCAGCTCTATAGAGGTTGCAACGGTCGTCTCAATCACGTGGCTTGCATCGCACAGTAGAGCAAAAAACATGCGAAGTACCCCGGAACGTCCAGCCAACATGATTCAAGTGGGTCGATGGCTTCGATCGAAGGGATGTGATGGAACGGATTGAATGGAATCTCTAAAAAAAACATGGGAAGACTCTCGAAGGCTCTGCTGAGAAAATTCGACTTAGCGAATGCTGCCTTATCCAGGCTCGAGAATACGGCTTCATCACGCTCATTTCATTTTGGGAAAGAAAAACGAAATGTGATGGAAAGCCATTAGAAAGGCTGCTGGAAAGCCGCTCGATAATATGAATTGTGCCAGAAAACGCTCTGGTATATAGTTTATCAAGAAGCATGTCATAAGTGTGAGAGAGGAAAAAATGTATGGAAAAGAGAGCCACGTCGAAAATGAGATTCTTACATCTCTATGATGAAGACCTGGAATGCAAAGGATTCACTCTTCGAGCGAAGAGTTTGGGGTGTGCTGGTCATATCTTCAAGTGCAATCAGAGGTGAATACAAATGGTTTTACTAACTGAATGTGGGAGAAGACGTGTATTTTGGTGGTCCTGAAGAAATCTGATTGAGGAAGCTTCCTTGTGAGGTGAATCGCTGCTGGCAGCTTGGATATTGTCCAACTTCGTCTGTTCAACGAGTGACCTTTGCCCCGTCCTGTCTGAGGGATTTTGTTTTTACATGTCAAGATCTGTGTTTTCAGTTGCTGAATTCGTTCCGATCTTTGGATCCTATTCCAATTGGGAAAGCCTTACGATTTCTTGTTGTTGGAACTGAGGCTGATGATTTCGACGAACGAATAACCAACTCGGGTGAAAAAGCATGGCAATCGTTGCTTCCCGCGAGGTAAGGCTCTGGTACACCTGGCGAATTCGTAGCAAACCTTGCTAAACCAAGTTAGGAACTGAGGTGTCACATGGGACGATTTCTCTCTAGTGCCAGCTGGACTTGGGGTCCATCGGGCAAGTCACTCCAACGAGTACTCTTCCGCGAATTCTTGAGAAGTGTATCAGAGCCTGTGCGATACGAAACATATGCATTTACGTTTACAAGCCCATTCAAGTTCATCTATTGAACGAAGGTTTCCCATTACAGCAAATTCTCATGATGACTCGTGGAAGGGAACGAGAGGGAACGCCCGTCGGGGTTCCGGCCAGAAATATCTGAAGCACCGCCGGAATTCCTAAAAAGTTTTCGGAAGCGTTTCCTCCATTTCGATCCCGCGAATTTCAACGTGAGGGAAAGCGAGATCCGCTACGGAAGCTTTTGCTCCTATTCGGCCGTGCAAATGCCGCAGATCACATCACATCGATTCGCTAATCTCATCCCGCGACAAGAGGATCTACTATTTGGCATGGAGCCATGTGAAGGAGCCACGAATGGTTTCACTTTGGAGTCCCGATTCGCCCTTGTCAGGAACGAGCTTCGGCAACGATCATTACGATCAGCGTTCGTCCATTCTTGGGTCAATAGGGAGGTCGTTCTTTCATCCCTTTGCAGTCAGATTTACCAGCGTCCTCTTGCCTGGGTGGTCTCATTTTTTTTTTGGGGGGGGGGGGGGGGGGGTGTCTCATTTTCAAGGATACTCGAAACACGAGATTCGAAATCAGGCACTAACAGAGAAGCCCCGAAGAACAGCGCTGACGTCACAAGAACGGGGGAAAGAGAGAAAGAATGAGGTAGAAAACTGTGATCCCTGCCGTCTCTGAAGGAATCAGGATTAATGATATTTTTGGCAGTCGCAGCCGGGCCGAGTTTCTCGAGAGGCGATGAATCGCGATGACGACATCGGGCCGACAGTCTCTCCGTTCGAGAGATAGCTCCGCGTCTCGTCCACGGCGAGAATAGATGGAATGAAGTCGTCGCAGTGGATTAGCGACGCACGCGCTTCGCGGTGGTCTCGGGTCGGCCGGCGCGGTATCCGCCGTTCAGTTGCGACGGTTAATGGGGATCGGCCTGGATTGCCTTAATTCGTGTCTGTTAACGAGGTTCGCTACGATTGACTTCGTAGCTACAGGTGTCGATGCCTCGAGACCAACCGGCATTGCCGTCTCCATCGAGCCACAACGATGACGTGAAACTGCGAGAAGTGACTTGCCGAAGAAGAAGATCCAGTCGCAGGCACTTCCCGCTCTTCCTTTTCTCGCGATGATCTTTCGATGTCTCGTGCGGCTCCGTGTCGTCGATGATTCGACAAAAGGGGGAATGTACAATTCGCTATTCGTCTTCTTTCAGACCGAATAATGAAATTCTAGCACGTGAGCCTTTCCTCGAGAGGCGAGACTCTCAGCTTCTCCGAGTCCGACGTTCTTCGGTGCAAATTCCCCAAAAAGGGCGAGTTCTTTCCCTCCTGGAAGCGTTCGAGACTGCACATTCGCGCCTTTCCCGGATCATCAACAGCATTCCCTTAATTATTAGGTTGTTCCGAAATAAATGTCCGATTTTCGAAGTGTAATGTTTTGTCTATCATTATACCTGTCAATTTTGCGATAACCAGTTATTGTTATATACCGTTTTTTTCAGCAAACCTTTCTCTATGTAAGCCACTTAGTTGCTTTTTATTTATCTTTAGCCTAACGTTCCTGTAGNTAGGGCCTAAAAATATGAAGACATAAGGCTCTAGCTTATGGGTTAATCCGGGTCTGATGATCAGGTATACTCCCAAACATCACCCATCATAATCCATTACTCTCAAATGCCTTTTTTGCACCTCGGCCGACATTTGAGACATTCCTAATATACAAAAAACCCAACATACTAGCGGATAACTAAAGCTAATCCCTGTATACATTCTGATCAGCCAGCTTATCTCCATATATGCCATTCATCCACGGGGGGAGAGAAAGAGAAGGGAAGTCGATGTTAGCAAGTTAGTCGTCGTTAGAAAATAACTCCAAAATGTTGATTGTAGGCCTACCAGTAATGCATCCAAAGCTTACAGGCCTATCTCAGGTCAGGCCCTTAAATTATGCCTGGGCCTATTTGGCTCAAAGGGCCCCACGATTCCTCTTTGATAGGAAGCGAAACACTCTATATCTAGTCTCACTCCTGTTGGAGCATCCAACAGCCACTCAGCAGATACCCTTGCCATCCCTTGGGTGAATGGTTGGGGTGGATCTGAGTGTCTTCACTGCTTGCTAAAGGCCTTGAAGGTCATTCAAAATTATTGGAGCATAACAAGGAACTTTTCAAGATACTTCTGCAATATTTGATGGACTACTGCAGCTGTATTGACCGGTTTGAGACAAAATGTGATCCAGCATTGCTTCACTCTGGGAACATGACAGACGCCTTACACACTGAGTTACGACCCTTCAAAGTTTGCGATCGAATTCGGACATTTATTTTGGAACAGCCTAATAGTTTGACCCATTAGCATCGAGCGACTCGCCAGCCTGCCTGACCTAGAATTCTGCTACCATAGCCCGACGCGAGGGGCCAAAAAGCCTCTGCCTTTGAAGGCCATAAGCTAAGGGGAAGGGCCTGGGAAGTATTAATACCATGCGGATGGGTTAATGGGTTCCCTTCCCACGCGCAGGAAATGGAAATAAAGTACGATTTTTCCGTCCTCGTTTTTATTTTCTGTCCCTTTCAACTGCTTCCCGATTCTCAGTAAGTTCAAGAGCGCACCTACGAGGTGTGGCAATAAAGTTTCAGGACTGATTTTTTTGTGAGTCTGTCAATATCGCAAAAATGATTTCCATTCCATGGACTAATAGATTAAACTGTTGGGCAGTGTAGTGTCAGTCCTCATCTGACTAGCATCTTCAATGAGAGTTTGGCTGGGAATGTAGTAACTCAGTGTGTAAGGCGTCTGTCATGTTCCCAGAGTGAAGCAATGCTGGATCACATTTTGTCTCAAACCGGTCAATACAGCTGCAGTAACCCATCAAATGTTGCAGAAGTATCTTGAAAAGTTACTTGTTATGCTCCAATAATTTTGAATGACCTTCAAGGCCTTTAGCAAGCAGTGAAGACACTCAGATCCACCCCAACCATTCACCCAAGGGATGGCAAGGGTATCTGCTGAGTGGCTGTTGGATGCTCCAACAGGAGTGAGACTAGATATAGAGTGTTTCGCTTCCTATCAAAGAGGAATCGTGGGGCCCTTTGAGCCAAATAGGCCCAGGCATAATTTAAGGGCCTGACCTGAGATAGGCCTGTAAGCTTTGGATGCATTACTGGTAGGCCTACAATCAACATTTTGGAGTTATTTTCTAACGACGACTAACTTGCTAACATCGACTTCCCTTCTCTTTCTCTCCCCCCGTGGATGAATGGCATATATGGAGATAAGCTGGCTGATCAGAATGTATACAGGGATTAGCTTTAGTTATCCGCTAGTATGTTGGGTTTTTTGTATATTAGGAATGTCTCAAATGTCGGCCGAGGTGCAAAAAAGGCATTTGAGAGTAATGGATTATGATGGGTGATGTTTGGGAGTATACCTGATCATCAGACCCGGATTAACCCATAAGCTAGAGCCTTATGTCTTCATATTTTTAGGCCCTACTTTAGGCCCTCCATTCTAAATATATATATTTGCAATATGTAATTCATACTTAGACCCTTCCCTCCCATTAGCCTTAGGCCCTCCAAAACCTTAATCCCTGCTAATCATCTGGTAACGCATATGCGCATTCAGATCTGGGCCTTTTTTCAGGGAATTGAAGGGATTTATGCGAGAAAGAACTGGGAGACTGAATGCGGAGGAATCAAAAATGGCGCCCAGTGCGGGAGTTGGACTGGCCCTGTCTCTCTAGGGGCTCTAGTCTTCCCTGCTGATCCACGCGATCTGACCAAAAACAGATGCGAAACAAGGAGCAAATTTCATTCGTCGAGGAACTGAGGAAATCAGGACTTCCACGACGCTCAACATACAATCTTCATACTTAGAATGCCAATTCATAGATGCAAAAACCTGAGACGATGGCAGTCGATTTTTGTATGCTGCGACTCCGATTCACTTCCGGTTCACTTCCGGTTCACTTCCGGTTAACTTCCAGCTCGCTTCCGACTTTGCACTTCGATTCGGATGGAAAAATGAAAGGTTTTTGGATGGGGAGATTTTTTTTGCCGCCTGGTGTTAAGAGAATGACGGAGCAGGTGCGGATCGCCTGGCGGGAGATAAAAGAAAAATCGGTGATCTGGTGGGAGTTACACTAGGGTTTCCTCGTCCCGATCGAAGATTGAAATTGCAAAGTGAAAAGAAAGAAAAGAAAAAGCTCCCTTAATGAGAAAGAAAGAAGTCTGCGGAACTCTGGGACACCGTCCCCGTGCATTTCCTAGTTTTTATTTTGTTTTTCCTACTTTTTTAGATCTTCTGAAACGCTTCATGAATCCCATGATACTTTGCGAACGAAAAAAAAAAGCCTATTCTGTCGTTCGTGCGAATTCGAGAATGAAACGCAGGCGTCATTACTCGATGATAAAACGAGAATCGCAACATCCCGGATATATCCGGATCCGGACTGATTCCAGGCCTCATATCTATGCGCATAATTCCGTTATCACAAAAGATTTTGCTTAAAAGACACCATCGCCAGATTCTTACCGGCTTCCCCCAACTTTCGTCTCTCGTTTCCCCAAACCCGCATCGGCCCAGGTTCCCGAGGAAAACGAGAAATCGCAAAAAAAAAATAAAAAGCAGAAGGGACTGAAAAACGAACCACGTCGACATGACAGATATTACCTCGAGGATGTTCAACGCCGACTGAACCTCCACGACCTTCACCGCTTCACAATCCACGTTATATATTGCTGTCGATATCGCGTTGCATCACCGCTCTGTTAATCTTCATGTCTTATCAGAGAGCCTCCCGATTTCGGATTGAGCTGGACTTCCTCGCTGGCGTGTCTCGGGCCTAGCAGCATTACCGTGCCTAGCAGCATTGCCGTGCCTAGCAGTGTTGTCGTGTCTCGCAGTGTCGTCGCGGCGGAAAAACGAAAATGGCAGGGGAAAGAAGCGTCGGGAGGAGATGTTGCTTTCTCCTCTTGGGATCTCTCTCTGTATTCGTCATACTCCTTATGTCTTCGTCTTTGCCAAGACCCGACTTGTCTCGGCTGTACCAGAGGGTACCTGGTTCACAGCTGCGACAGGAAAGTGAGATAATCGATTTTTCAGTCTCAGAAAAATTCTGCGTCTTAATCATTAAATAAGCGTAGTTAAATTGCGCATCAAGTTACGAGCTTCTGCATTTCGATAAGATTCCCCGTAGACTTTCTCATCCCACATTAGTTATGTTCAAGCCATCCATAGTTGGAATATTTCTAAAAATAAAATCTTTGAGCATTCATAAATTCAGCATGCATTAATTTCCCTAGAATTGTTGCTAGGTTCTGAACTTCCCCCGCCGATCCACGCAGCCGAAGACCGCCACGAGGGCTCCTCGTCCGTGTGGGAGGAGCCAGGATGCCACCTCCCGAAGCTGGACCCTTGGGACCCGTCGATCCTGCCCTATCTCCCCAGATTCCCCGACTTCCGTTGCGACGGGATGGGGGAGCCACTCTTCAAGAAATACGGTCCGGATCAACTGTCCTTCCAGGGGAAAGAGGAACAAGGACGGTCGATCGATTGCTGCTACACTCCTTTCTGGAGGGAGCTGCCGTCTCCTTCAACGTGGATAGAGTTTTCCGTCAGGTGAAGCTCATCAGATTCAATCTTCAAGTCGCTCTAAAATTTGGCTGAGACAAAAGAAAATTCCACGTTAGTCAACCTGATAAATTCAAGTTCGCATCACCCTTCGAATCGATCCCTCATTTACGTTGCTCGTACTTTCAAGACACCTGTTCATGTTCACTTTCTGTTGGATTCGGCTAGTTCCTGAAAGACAAGCAACGAATGGATCAATATGTTCGGGTTTGGAGGCTAGGAACAAAAACAGTCCAAGCCCTAAGGGAGCGTCATATTCGTAGGTTCATATGAGAGAAGAAATTTCGTCACTCTCTACTATTTTTTACATCTACTTATGACTTTTATCGGTGTCGTCTCACCTAGAGCTGAAGCCATTCCGGTGGCCATGCGATACGGGTTTAAAGCTCTGCTTCATAAGGACGTAGCCCCACTATGTGATAAGAGCTTTTATGGTGTGTATGTTTTTGGTAAACCTTCAAGAAGTACTTTTCCCCTTGAACAAATAAATGCCTGTCTGTCATTCCACTCCACGATCAAACATATTGCGTTCCTTGTGACATTTATGTTATGCGGCTGATAAGACAGTCGGACCCTCTCATCGAAGGCAAAGAAACAGGAAGGAGGTTTTGAAACTGAATGAACCAAACGTGAGTCATGACCATCGCTAAAAAAAAAAATGGCGCAGAAAAGCGAAAACTATCCAAGTCAGTCAATAAACGGTCCCGCAGAAGGAAATAAAATCTAAATTGGTAGCTACCAATGTGCAACAGGCCCTCTGTAACCTTGGCAAGTTAGTGAAACCGTGCGAACGCTGATGGCTCGCCATGTTCTAAAAGTCGACTTTTGCATAAAAGAACGCACTCGGCTAAAAGATGCTAGGAGCGGGACTCCTTTCTCGGATTCGACAATAATCCAGGAAAAAGCTGGGCTTTGCTCAAATGACCTCATTCTTTCGTCTTGTTTCATTACTTGAATGAGAAAGTGGAATTTGAATATTGTTCCTGCAGATACGAAGAGGAATGTGTAGCTCTTCCATTAGATACGGTGGTAGAGATTCCTCACGACTTCGTCCGCGTGGTATGTGGAGTCAAGAACAAGCCGAAAGACCATCCTTTGTATGAAGAGTTCTTTGCCTTTGTCCCACGAAGCATCGCCAACGGACAAGGACGCCAGGTAGCACAGATCAGATCGAGAAAAGAACGAGTAGTGACCCGACCGACAGCAGGACAGAATAATGACCAACCGAGAGAAGAAGAGGAAGAGCAATCGAGAGAAGAAGAGGAAGAGCATTCGAGAGAAGAAGAGGAAGAGCAACCGAGAGAAGAAGAGGAAGAAGAACCAAATACCAGCTCAACCAACTGGTTGAGCGTCTTAATCCTGGGCCTGGATGCGATTTCTCGAAACAATGCGATACGACACCTACCCAAGACACGTCGAGTCCTTCAGGAGATGGGTGCCGTGGATTTCCCCATGTACCACAAGGTTGGCGATAATACATTCCCCAATCTCATACCTTTCCTCACTGGATCATACCCAGAAACTCTGCCAGAGGACTGCTATAACGTCACGGGTGATGGATATTTCGATTCCTGTCCCTTAATTTGGAAAGAATTTCAGAATCAGAGTTTCGTGACGGCCTTTGTGGAAGATTCCATCAGCATCGGTACTTTCAACTACATGAAAAAAGGTTTTTACAATCAACCAACAGATATTTACGGCTCTCCATATTTCTACGAGGCAGAAAAAAATACTGGGAAACAACTGGGATACGGGCTACAAAACGTGAAAGAATGCTTGGGCCCTCGTCTTCAGGCTCAAGTCCTCCTGGATTATGCCTTCGATGTTGCAGAAGTATTAGCGAAGGATGCGTATTTCGCTTTTTTCTGGAGCAACAGCTTGACTCACGATTTCGTGGAAGCACCTGCTTTGATAGACGACCCCTTGTATAAATTCTTGACGGAAGGGAACAAAAAGAACCTATTCAACAACACTGTATTGATTTTTATGAGCGACCACGGGATCCGATGGGGTGATTTGCGCAACACGGATGTCGGGAAGTTGGAGGACAGGCTTCCATTTGCTTTCGTTTATGTTCCACCGTGGTTCCGTCATCGGTACAGAAAAGAGTGGAACGCGTTGCAAGGAAACACTCAGGTCCTTGTGACCCCGTTCGACCTCCATGCCACCATGCACGCCCTCACGAATTTTCCGCTCGGACTCCGTCAACCGTATAACGAGACTCGTAATGGGAAGAACCTGTTCCTGCCGATTTCGAAGACTAGAACGTGCGAAGATGCCGGAATATCCCCCCATTGGTGTTCGTGCTGGTCTTCGGTTCCCGTGAACTTGACTATGGACTTCGTGCAAGAGATCGGCCGGGTCCTGATCTATCACGTCAATTCCATAGTCGAGAATCACCGCCAATGCGCCAAGTTGAGGCTGGCATCCGTGGACAGGGCTTCCATGCACGTAAACAACTTGATGGAATATTCTTCTCCAGAGGAGTCCTCGAAGGAATTGACGGTCGCGTTCAAGACGTTGCCCGGTCCCGGCCACTTCGAAGCCACCGTGAAGCAACAGCCGTCGAAGAACAATATCTACGAGGTGCTGGACATCAATCGGATAAATCTGTACGGATCTCAAAGCTACTGTGTCCAGGACACCCGGCTCAAACTATTCTGCTACTGTCGAGAACTTTAAAGTCGTATTCTCTCTTGATCATTATTTATATTGTAAATGTTTCTGTGATCGCTTTCAATGAACTGTGATTCTGCACCAGAAACTTGTCGTAAATGCTCAAAATACACTTTACACAATCCCAGCTAATGCTAAGATTCTTTCACTTTCCTCGTTTCGGGATAGGAATTAATAAAGAGGATTTCCTCTGGGGATTTTGACAGTGGTAATCGTACTGCAACTGTTTTAATTTTCTTCTTCTCAAATCCTATCATTCCCCTGGTTTCTGCTGTAACACAAACAGAAGCATTTTCAGGATTTTTCTTATTAATCCTTTCTTTTAAATAAATATATTGACTTCCAAAGTTGGCATAGTTCGCCCAGGAAACTCTTAGCGGTCTCCGATAACTGTCGATCGAACACTCCATCTCCATTGGTCAAACCCAAACTACGATTATTGGTAACCTTCTTGGAGTGGCACAAAACCTGCGAACCAACATGTCCATGCATGCTGAATGAGCATGCATGGACGTGCTGAATGAGCATGCATGGACACGACCCGTTCCCGGAAGAAACGCGTGGAGTCCTTGGCTCGCACTCGAGGGAAAGCACTCTGGTTGCATTATCTTCGTATCAGTGGTGAAGAGGGGAAGGGAGTTCCTTTCGACGTGTCTTTGTCGAAAGGTCTGTTATGCGAGTATTGGAAAGGGCCAGAAAGCTAATCATTCTTCATAAAGGAAAATGAAACGCTGATGCATTTCAGTTTCATTCCCTCATCGACAAAATTGGTACCCCAATCAGGAAGTCTTCATGAAATTCTATCTCTTTTATCTCTCTCGTCGGGCGCATATTCAGGCCTTTCTATTTCCTCAATTTGTCACCGTCAGGTGACTGTGATCTGAGGGACTCCTTCATCCATTCGGATCGGAGATCCAGGAAAAACCAACTTGAATCCCGTCTCTTGCAAGCCGAATAGCCACTGCGCTCCAACACGGCGCCGTGTGCCAGCCTCGTCATCTCCGATCGCCGCAAGAGACGCGAGGGACGGAACGGCCAGAGATTGTCGACTCTGACGACACGCGGCGTTCGCACATGCGTTGCACCAAGCACTTTTTGAGCGAGAGTGGCCGAGTGGCTTTAAAGTTTTCAGTGTGTTCGCACCGAGTGGGGTTGCCAGGCGCTCCTCGAGTCTAAACAACAATTCTCCGGCTGTTATCTTCCAGACGTGGAGTTTAACTTGAAAATTAGAAAAGGGAATGCCTATAACATAGCCACGGGAACGTCAAGACCAGAACAGACCTCGAATTCCAGCGATCATAGGTGAAAGAATTTCTTACTGGCAAAATTAGAGGAAATTAGAGGTTCTCGGAAAGAGCCAAAACATTCTTTAAATCTTCTGCTTCGATCCATGCTCATAGGAGCCCAGAGCTCATAATAAACAGCTTTCGATAGAATCCAATTGAACAGAAAGTTGAAAACGTGGCATTGCACGAGGGATGTTCAATTCCCGCGTTCCTGATGTGCCGTACGGAGGCACGGTGGCGGTTGAGAGATTCGAACTGACGGAGAGACGAGGCAGCCTTCTTCCGACAGGTGGCGGAACTATGAGTATTGCACGCAATGCATCCTGGGTATTCCAAGATGGCGGACCGTTCTGTTGCACCATTCAAGGAGGGAGAAGTGCTGGTAGGATCTTTTCCCGCTTCAACATGAAAGTACTGCGACGCCTAACATCTGCGGGATTCAACTGTTGATTTTGGACAATAGTAGGTTGAATGGGAGACATTGAGAGTGTAGTGAACGTAGGTTTGGCTCCGCTGAGACAACTATCCACGACCGTCTGAAGTTTCGAAAGGTGAGTGCCAGACGGGTGTCAAAGGACATGAGGTTAGGCCAAAAGCAAGTGCGTGTCATTGCGAGCATATCCCTCCACAACGCCATGTAGTGGTGGAAGTGTAATCCCTTGAATCTGTGGTTCCACGTGATGAGACGTAGGTACACCAATGCACCCTGAAAAAAAAAAAATACGTAGCAGATGCAGCGACGACAATTTGGTTTTCCTCTCTTTCCTACTCTACCACCTCTTCGTGTGATTTTGCATCGTCCGTCGTAATACCCTAGACTCGCCCTTGCGTTGGCCTGTCCGTGCAGGAACTGAGTTTTCAGCCATTGAGTGGGCGGGGCGAGGAGAAATGTTGTTTGGCTGATGAGTGGAAAAAATTGTTCATGGCTGGATCACAGCATAGGGATAATTTCTTGTCTAGACTGCTTGGAACCCACTCAAAAACCTGAATCGATACTGTTATGCCAAAGTTATCTTAGTGACAAAGTCTGTTCCAGTTGAACTTTAGTCACTCAAAGTGACCCAGAATGACCAAAATCGAACCATTGGCCCAACTTGAGCCCTGTTATCTCAGAGTGACTCAAGTTGATTGAATTTGACCCAAAATTGAACTTAGCCTAGATCCTGCCATTTCTAATTCACCTAGGCAACCCAACCTTCAGAAGGAAAATGTGAAGGCTTACAGATATCTATATATTCAATAAATAACGACCAGCAGATGTCTGTATGACAGAATTTTGTCCAGTGATCTCCTCCTAGGTTTCTCAACCGATTTCCACCATCGGCACCTCATTCGATTTGTAATACCTCATTCGATTCTTAATTTCCTGCAGATGGTCCAACTGATTTTAGATTTTTTTTTTTTAGAGTTGACCTTTGATCTGGCCCAGATGACCTTTCGCATTAATTTTGGATCCAATTTCTAGCCTGATGCACCATTCGAAAAGCCCTTGAAATCCTTTGTTATAATTTCTTTTCACGTTGTAAAAATGTTGATGTTTGATCCTGCTCCGGTTAATCCGAGATGAAAATGCACTGGCGCCATCTCTGTACGGATTAAATAACTAAATTGAGATGCCTAGCCCAGACCTATTTCAGGGATCCGTTGTAGGCCCAGATGATTTTCACATTTCTGCACATCCGACGACTAGCGTAGCGGCTGGTCTTCTGCGAGAAGAAATCACATGTCTTACCGCCTAATTTCAATTTCTACGCCGTAGCTAAACGTGCAGAACTGGCAAGGCGAACTGTTCTGAGAGTTGGGTTGAAGTCGAGGTCTTGAGATACCGGTTTCAGTAGCTGATGGATGAAATTGGGATTGAATTCTCAAGGACGATATCGAGAGTAAAACGTGGCAAATGTAATTGGTGCAGTTGCCACTTGTGATGTTGAATCAACGACAGTTGGAAGGTCAGCGGAGATTAGTCGTCAATCAGTTCAGTGCATTTCGAAAATGAACGCATTCCTTCTGTTGAGGATGCAGTTTCACCAATAATTATTGGCGAATGACCCTGACCGGGGATCAGTTTGATGAAGACGCTAAATCCTGAAGTAAATCTGACCGTGTATGCTTAACCGATGATATCACCTTTGTGCCTTATGGCTAAGTACTGTACATCGGCACAAGCGCCGATTCTGCAACGACCATTGCCCACACTAAATGACTGAGACACTTGTGCAAGAACCTTAGAAACTGAATGTATGAGCTGATCTTATGATCATTCTGTTACGCCCCGAGTGTTGGTTCCCTGTCAAAGTAGAAAAGTATGACGTAAACCGAAACTTTCCAATCTTCTGAAAACGGAGTGCGAAATTCCATCAGGAAGACATCTGTCTGCATGACGAAGTTTATGTTGTTCCACCAGGACAATGCCAGTCCCCAGGTTGTTTGCGTGACAAATCGTTCATTTCATGAACTGGGAGCTCGCCCCTCACTCTTACAATAGAGATAAGCGATTATCACCCGTTCGGCCAATTGGAGGAGCTTATTGATGGCCCGAAGATCCCACGTGATGATTCCGAAATTGTATCGTGTGCTGCGGTGCCTGCGAAGTGGGCCCGAACGATTCCAACTGGCTCTCCCGAATAGATGGGACAAGAGTATTGTAGATTGTAGCTACTGTGGCCGGATCGGGGCACGAGATCAAGTCGGGATTAATATGACAACCCGGAGCTCACTAGGACGCTGACAAGGGTGAATTATAACTTTATTGAGTAGCAAACACTAAAAATATATTTGCAGAATATCATAAACAAATACAATATGCGTTCTAGGCAATTGAAGTCAAGGCGCACTTCCGTGATCCCCTAATGACCTTTTCCCGGTCCCTTCCCAGGACGCGCTACCCCGTCTCCGACACAAACACCTGATGTTCTTGTTAGTTCCGCTTCTTAGCAACTTCTTTAATTTCACAATTCTTCAGTAACACTTAGGATTTCCTAGTAGAAAAGTAGTTTCGTAGGGTCCTAGTCGTCTCGAGGCGCCCTTTCTCTCCCTTCTTGGAGACACGGCTGTCGATGTTCCCCCAGATTTATCCTACGTTCTTGGCTGCTTGTCTGAAGTAATATCAATGGTACTTGCTGGGTGGCACGGGGAAGCGGGGTTAGAGCCCCAGTGAGGTCGTCCTTGGGACTCGATTTAACATGTTACTGGATGGACAAGAAGTTCGTGGCTCTCTGGCTGTCGGCGGGAGTCTCGGATTGTCGCACTTATAGTTCTTAAATTCTCTACCCCCTTTTAACATTGTGTTATTACGGGGTGTCGGCAAATTTGCGTTTACTTCATTGTGAAAGCTTCGTTTTATTTCAGTATTTAATTTATGGAATCCCTTCCGGGGCTTATGAACACATTCCTTTACAAGTTGCTTCATGCTAGGGATTTTCCGGATCGGCACAAATCAAATACCAGACTCTGACACTCCATCCGACGTCCTCCCGCTTTAGATGGTATACCAGTTGGCACAGGGCTTGAGTTTTGTTTCCCCTCCTGGAGTAGAGGAAGATGGTTCGGAGATCTTGAGCAAAACGCTCTGAGGTGGAGGAGGCACTCCGGGGGTTCCCCAGCCTTCCGGACTTTACTGGGAGGGTGGCCCTTTCGTCCTTTGACAGCGCGTCGAGTGCCGACTCCCAGGTGGCTAGTAATTGGGCTCAGGTCGTAAAGGGGGCGAAGGTTAAGCGATCC